AAAGGCATGTAGGTGCAATGCCACGATCCACAGAAGCCGATGACAAATGGTGCCACAAAGCTTGTTAGTGGAGGGGCTGATTTGCACCCATCGCGGGGTTGAAAGGCTTATTTGCCACCCTTTTAGTTCAAAGGCTTATCACTTCTGTCGAAAAAGTTGAGGGGTTAAAGAAGGGTTTTTGCCAAAATAAAAATTAGGCGGTGAAAACAAATAAATTCTCTTTAAGAAGTCATGAATGCTCTAGGTATTTAAAATTGCATGTCAAGTTCATGTAATAATAAATGAGTCTCAAAAATAAAAACTGGGTAGTGAGAACAATAAGTTCCCTTTAAGAAGTCATGATTAGTGTTTTAATTCCCATAGGCTGGATGAATAGAAATACCATTGTTTGTACTCCCATTCATAGGATGAACATAAATAATCAGATAGTACTAGCACCATAAATATAGAGAAATGAATCATACATATTTAGTTTAACATATTTTTTAATACATTTTTCATTCAACTATTAAAAATATAACATAATTATATTTGATTTAATTAGATTTTATATCATGTGTACATGATTGCATGTTTAAATTTTTCTACCTTTAACCTTAGATAAAAAAATACTTTTTAATAAATATATTATACAATATGTTAAATCAATTATGTACCAATGACTGTCCATAAATATAACATATCCACATGACAGTGGTTTTACTCCTATTAACAAGACGAATAGAAACATAATATAATCAGAGACAAAAATAAGCGAGTAATCAACATAAAACAGATTTTAGGCTCTGGCAAATATTTAAAAGGCTGTACTAATAATGACACTTTTCATAAGTAGATATCTCAACAAAAATCAACATGGCATGCAAATGTATGTTAAGGGACTAATAGTCTCAAGGACAAATAAGTAGAAGAGGGGTTTGCGGTACGTCAAGCACTCAACATAATTATCTTGAAATAAGCAAGAGTCCCTGCTCACACCCAGAATTAATCCTTCAAGCTCCCAGTAGGCAATGAAGAGGGATTTTCCTTGTTACTCAAAAAAAAAGGAAAGTAACCTGCAAATTCTCAGCAATCATCATATTAATAAGACTTTTCCGCAATCAGTTTTTTCAAATAAAGGAGATAAACAATGCCCCAATACATTCTAAAGAAATCCTAAATTCCACAAACCACCGGCAACAAGTTCTTGTGGAAGGCTACACTTTTACGAGTATTGTACATGTAGATACATGCACCATATTCAATCAGAAGTTCTCATATCAGATGAAATCAACCGTTGTGCAATACTCATGTCTCAACATTGGCCTTGTTTCCAGCAAGGATGAGAGAGATCTCCAACCCTCGGCTAAATGCCTGGTTAAATAGAAGACGGGACTGGAAAGTGGAAATGAACGGGAACCACGACAACACTGCCACAGGAGCAAAGATGATGATTCCCATTCCAGCATCATACATTCTGGCAAATTCACGAACAGAATCCCACAGGCCTAGACTCCTGACAACCTTTTTCCATGTGACAGCCAGCTGTCTCAATCACAGCAGAGGATTTAAAGGATGTAAGCAAACAAGGATTTTAAAACAAAGAGATCTAGAATTAGAATACAACTTTTGCAATCACGTGAATGCAGTTCTTAAAAGAGTTTCATTTAATTCATTCATTTCTCTTCCCAAACTACTATTTCAACATCAGTAAATTCATGTAGAAAATAAAACAGGTTCTAACTTACACATAAAATGAGCCACCCAGTAGGAATGAAAGCTAGGATGCATGCAAAGACGTCTGCTATTGATAATTTACGTAATAACACAATGAGGCAGAGGGCTGCAACAAGTCCTAAGGATATTAAGCCCTGCATGAATCGCATCACCAGTTGGATGTTGCTGGACTTCTTTTTGGGGCTATAAGTAAAAATCTGCAAACAAATGAAAAATCAACGATACAGAATCAGAAAAGAGGAAAGATCAGTATATTCGGGTGGTAGAAATTGATTGAAAGGAGACCACAAACCTTGAAAATCATGACAATGACAACTAGTACAATCCAGGAGAATCCATAAATCTGGAAAGTAAATAGATTGCAAAAGATCAAGTGGCAAATCAGTAACAAGAATCACACTTCATCATCTACATGATAATTCAAAAATAAAATTCATTGAGCTGTGATCACACACATATTGGCTGGTTTTCAAGTGTTATATTGATGAGGTCGAATTCAAAAACCTGTAAGGAATTGGGAGGTCTCAATCCTGGAAGCTGTAGCAAGGCTCCAGTGAGTTCTCATGCTATGTTAATTTCACTATCCTTTGTTTATTAGGTTGGGATATTATGGTTTAGAAGAGAAACATCAGTTACTAAATATGTGAAATACTCCATTAAATTGTCCATGATCTTCTTGAATGGATCACACTGGTTTTGACATGGAAATGACTAGATCAAATTAGCATCAACAGTATGAAAAATGAGGATCTTCTCATAAATAACCCTCCACAGAAGGGAAAATTAGCATGGGTGCATGTTGATGCTAGGTAATATGGATAAATTATAGCTTCAGTTCAACCGTCTACCATTCTGCTTGACACATAATACAATAGTAAGGAATTGTGGGCACATCTAGATGATAATTAGTAAGGTTTAGCTAATAAGTTTGTGAAATATTACTATTGATTTTTAACATGCACCTTTACGTAAAACATTATATATAATAAGAATGGCATCAGTTTCTCTTACATGTTATGGTTGAGTGGTTTCATTTGATCAAAGTTTTCAATTGCCATTCATATGCTACACAAAAACATTACCTAAAGCTGCATGTAAAATGTCAAAGCAACAATTGAAAAATACAAAGAACAAGACTTATACCGTTAGTGACGTATCCGTTCCTGTGAGATGGAGTTTGTATACAATTCCATACTGGAATATCAGGAATCTCAAGCTTAATATTGTTTCCAACAAGCGGCCTCTCAGTGTTTGAATATGCATCTGCAGATTCAAGGCAGCAAATAATAGAAAACACTTCAGTTCACACGGTGAAGAAATTTTCAGATGCTGAAAAATGTGATCTTAAAGCAATTTGATAGTACAAAATTAAAAATAAAGAATTGTGCAAAATTACTAGCACAAGTAACTACACCACAAGAGTTAAATATTCGTTAGGAAACATAAGAAGTGCATATGAACATGGTCAAATTTTCACAAATTTCTTTAAATGAAAATATTAAGAAGATTCTCCATCAAAGATAAAATGAAACAAACAGATGTCAACTGCAAAGAACTTACAACTACAAGAATACATTAGCATCGAAAAAACAAACCTGCTCCTCATCCCACCAAGATTCCCAGCTATTTTCTCCTTTCACACCAACTCCACCTTTATAAAGAAGCCAACTAGTCCAATCATCGAAATCCTCCACAGTCCTGTTTATCATACCATAAGATCGTAGGAACTACAATATAATTATAATAGCAGTAAATCTCAGAAATTAAGTGGAACATACTTCTGCCATTCAAAACCAGAAGGATTGAATATATATGGAGCAAAGAGCCATGAAACGACAAGGAACCAGCTACTAAGTGTTAGCAAAACAAAGGAAACTGCACCCCCCTCCGTGTATCCATATGTGATGTATACAATCAAGAGCAATGCCACTTCAAGCCTGAGAATCAAAGTTGAGAACTTCAAAATACAAGCAGTTGCACATATCACACAAAAAGCAATAAATCTGAATAATCATTCCTTTCTTCTCCTTTAATTTTAAATGATATTAGATCAAATTACCAATCAGAATGCATCATAAGAACCTATAACTTACGCTTTAACAAAATGACTTCTTGAGTAGAGCCTGTAATTTTCAGCAAACTTGATATGACGCACTACAAAGCCTCTACCAGTTGCTCTATACTGTTAGTTCAAGATTGCAAAAGAAAATACGTCAAATAGATATAAAAAAGAAAAAGATTAAAGGCATTAAAAATTTGAGATCAAGAAAAAACAAATATATACTTTTGCACCACCGTGGAGAATAGTACGCCCAAAATAATGAGTCCTTGTTCCTAAAGAGAATGTGAAGAAGACTGAACATAACTGAAGTTGCATTGTGATAAAGCTAAATACAGCCTGCATATAAAGTACCCAAAATAATTAATTTGATAAAAACAACAGCAATGTCCAAAAAACTGCATAGCAAAAGCAGCATTTTCACAAAACAAAAATTTGAAGTTTAATGGAACAATAATAAAACCCATTGTCATAGGGACTGCAGTAAATGAGAGATGACAATAGTGATAAACCAGATTGACAAACCTTCAGCAATCCTAATTCAAGTATAAAACCCATTATCATAGGAACAGCAGTAAAAACTCCAATCTGGACCAAGAATTGTGCATTCAAAACTGCATCCAGTGCCGTGTTACCCAACTTTTTTGCTTGCAGAGCAATTGCACGATCAAGTCCAGAGAAAGCCTGAAATATTTGGTTACATAATAACAGTTTTAATGTTAATAGATCAACCAGGATCATACAATATAATCGAAGCCTCAGTGCTTATATTTCCATCTAATGGTATGATCGCAATTAAAACAATTGAAACGAAAAGAATACGTTTTTTTAAATAAAAAATAAATAAAATTTTAATGAAAAAATTGCCATTTCAGCTATTAGAATTCCATGTCATATTAGGAAATTAAAAAAAAAAAAAAAGTTTAATATCTTGTAGTTAACTCAAGGATGGACTAGAATGGAGCTGGATGAATAAGTTTAGGGACAATTTCATAGCCACAAAAGTTCAGGAGCCAAATTGGGTACAATTCTGAAAGTTGAGGGACCATACATTAAACCTATTTCAAAATGGATTTAATTTTAAGATTATAGATAGGCTAAAAATAAAGCTATTTAAAAGAAAAAAAAATGAAAAAGAAAAAGAAAAAGAAAAAGGAAGAAGATTGTAATCTAAGTATATAACAGACATTCTAGTGTTAGATTAGAATGTTAGCATGAAACAACCTGTGTATGAATTAAACATGACTAACACCCTCAAATATAAGCAGTAATAAACATTCCCACTTAGCATAATGATAGTTATTGCAAAAGCACAAGACACCGGACAGGTTGGGGGAGACGGAGGTTTAAGCGTTTGCAAGGTTAGGAAAAAGAGGAAGAGAAAGTGAAAGAACCCTAGGAACCACACTTAAGTTTCTTTAGGGAACACACTCAGAGAGAATAAAGAATCCTTAGGGACTACACCTAATGTTGATTGCATCACACAATAAATCAAGACTGCTTCTAAGTTCAAACAGTCACAAAACATAATTTGCTGAAAGTAATTCAGAATATATTGATCGACTCTTGAAAGAAGCTACAAGCGCATATGTATCTCTTACTATTATTCTAACGAGACTAGAACTTAGATCATCTAATCTCTATTAATATTATTCTTAATATAGCTCTTAATAAAAGATCTAAACCTCTACTAAAACGAGGAAAAGTAATAATAAAATAATAAAACTCAAACAATCACAAATTCAGTGTTAAGTAAACAGCGTGCCCAAGTGGTAGGTAGCAGCCCACAGCCTTGCCCAATGCTAGGTGGCGGCTCCATGGCATTACGTTGCATCAATTGTGCAAGGAGGGAAATTTACCAATTTACAAAAATATTATACTCTACGAACAAATTAGGTCCTAGTAATTTAGTTTATTTCAATAAAGTCAACTTTTGTTTTTTTAGTCTTTTTTTTAAGAAAAATGGGGAAGAAAGGGAACACCTTGGGGCACCTAGATGGCGCCTCACTAATGCCCAACTCTTTCTGCAACACTAATCACAATAAGATAACAAGCCTCAATATTGTGAATAACTCTTCTATAGGTTCTTGTTCCACATCAGCATCCACTAGAAGCAACTTAAATTTATAAAAGTTTTGATAGAGCACTCTATCCATGGGAATTTGTTCATGAACCAAGTTCTACTTGCAATTTTTTCAGTGCATCTCAAAGAAATGAAATATTTAAAAAATCCCAGTGAATAGCTATATAAATTATAGAAAAAATGCACCAAAAGATACATAAAGAGAAAATGAAAGGTTAAGTTACCAAATAAGCTCGTCCATACAAGAAGATGTACACTGTAAGGACAGTCATCTGCATTAATAAAAATTGTTATTAAGATAATTCTGGGGAAAGGCAATGTATAAACTATAAAGAAGAATGAAATATAAAGGTAATGTTACATAAGTAACATACCATTGTGCAAACATAGAAACCAACAGTTGTGAAGTAGAAAGAGAGCATTCTAAAGAAATCAAAAAGCTGTCCAAGTCGGTATACATCCCTGCTAAGAACTTGTTCTCCATTTCCACCAGCCACTTTGCCTTCAAACAGGGCAATCTGATTTAATCCAACATCTCTTCCTTTTCCAACCTGCATGAAGTTGAAGGGCATTGATAAAGATGATATGTTAAAGAAAACAGAATTAGGATCTGCTAGCACATCAGATCAGAATACCCCAGCTCTGCAGATGCAGAAAAGGAAAATGGGAAACACACACTATACCTGAATATACTCATGATGAGTGACATTACCCTGCCTCAAAGTAGAGTTGAACCCTGAAAAACATTTAATTTGACAACAGGGCTCAGCAAAGTGGAAGCATTGCATGACTAAATTAAACTCTAATTCTGGAAAACAAAAAAAAAAAAAAAGTTTCAAAAGAAACATATTGGAATTTGCATATAAATGGAAGTTCAGGATCATTCATTTAGTCCAATGGAACAAGACAATTCTGAGATAATTAACAATGTTCCTAATTTTCACAGTAAGGAGCCTAGTATTTAGAGATTTAACTTGTTAATCATAAAATTAGCAAAGCATTCTTCCTCACTTGAATTAGAATAGAAGAATGAATGGTGAGAAGATTTCTTAATATTGTTCAATTTGATAAGATAATGACACTGTCCAATCCATTGAAGTCATGAACACAATTTTTACTAGATGCCTTGTAACATGCCATGAGATTAAAATATTACAAAATTGAGATAATTCTCAATAGATACAGAATGAGGTGCTTTCTTATAGACTGGATGTGGTGCCAGTAGCATTGGCAAGGGGATAAAAAATGCAAAAGAAAGCTCATTCATTCCTAGCCTTATAAAGAGGAAAGCACTTTTCCTTGTAGGTAAAGAAAACATTTGGGAAACAGTAACAATTTGCAGAGTAAAAGCAAGCATGACAAAATAAGATGACCCTGGTGGAGGAAGTGTAAGAACTTTCTTACAAACTTTGTGAAAACATGCCCCTACAGCACACAGTTAACTGGCAAAGAGTAATCATCTTTGGTTTGGGGTCAAACTATGGAGTCATTTATCTCATCTAGAATTAGGGACTAATCTATAATAATTGTTAATTATGGGATTTGCATATTATTTTAATAACCTGCAGACCAGGTGTCTATTTTAAGGAGAGTTAGTGCAGTCCAGCTGTCTATAATCTGTTAAAATAAATGACAAGTGGTTGAATGAGAAGTGGGCCAAGTGGGGAGCATTTAAGACCCACTTGACCAGAGGTTTTGAGCTATATAATTAAATTAGTCATTTTGCCTCTAGCGGGACCAAAGAAGGAGAAAGACAGCGCAGATAAGCTGGGCAGACTTGGAGAATCTTGAAGAATTCTGCCAAGCTCAGGATTTTGAAGAAAGTGTGTGGTAAGTGTGATTCTTAATTTTAAGTCAAGGTTGTCAAACAAAGTTTGAAGTAAATAAAACAACAGAATAAACATAAGAAATTAAGGTGCTGCAGTTTAGGTTATATAACGGAAAGAGAAATAAATACAGAAGTAGGTTGAACTAGAAATTTCATGTGCTGAAACTGAAACTTTTATAGTTCAAGTTTTGAGATTAATACGTTATGTGTATCACCTTATAGCCTACTTCTATTAGTTTTACAGACCATATTAAATAAACATTGAATCTGTTATGAATGATTATGTGCTATATATGGTTCTATGATGTAATTGTCTTAGAACTATGGAGAGTTTGGACCCCAGCCTAGGCTTGGGGGTTAGAACAGTGAACTAGTGAACCTCTGCGCAATAGGTAAGTGCTATGACTAGCTTTGGCACCTAATGTGAGTGCATGCACCTTTCAGTGGACTCCATAGTTTATGTTATTCCTATTTGACATGCTGTGTTTGTGTGACCATTTTGTGGCTGCAATGCCTTGATTTTCAATAAGGCCAGTACAACTAGGAATACAAGGAATTTTTCTGCATAAAATAGTAAGATTAGATTATCAGCTTAACTTAAGATTAAGAATTATGCTTACTGGGCTGTGATTTCATGGTGTTTTTCCCACCATTTCAGATAGTAGCAGTGAAGAGTGGCTGTTTTTCCTAAGAATTTTTTTGTGGGTGGAGGTGCTTCGAAATATCAGTAAGGCAAATCTTTATCTGCCCAAAACTTCCATTTGGCTCTGTAATTTTCAATCTATTTTGTACTGTTATTGAGACAGGGAATAGTATATAAAATGAGCCTTTTGAATCTATAGATATTTTTTGCTTCTTTTTTCCATTTTTTTTTTTTCTTGTGCAGGACATTTCCCTACTTGTTAAACCAAAGGGTTATCAAAAGGGGATGTTACAGTAGGGTTTTAGTGGAGTCACCTGCTTGGGCTGTCTTCAAATACATGAAGGCTTATCCCCTTCCAAGAAGAAAAAGGAAGCTTGGATGGTGATTTGGTTCTCCATGGTTAGGTCCACTGGGACTGGTACGATAAGAAAATTTTTTAGCAAACAGATGAAGATGTATTGAAAATTTTTTATTACATGCAGATAAGACCTTGGCTTTAGATCAAGGCAAAAGTGTATAATGTCAACTTTTCTTTTGCTGACAGGATTTCCCAATGGCTGTAGTGTTTACAGGCTTGTAGTGAGTAAAAGCAACATACTTGGCTCCATTGAACTTAGCTATTATTTCTTGGCTTGGAATCGTGCTTCCGAGTCCAAGTTAGCCTGATTCTTTGAATAGTACTGGGTTGCTTCTGTATTCACATGAGATTCTGATGTTTAAGGTAACAAACTGTTTCTGGATGATCTCTTACAAACTGGTATAATAGCTTTGCAAGGGTTTGCATACACCCCTTGTACTCACTATAGCTTTTTTTCCATAAACAGCTGGTTAGGGTGTTTGGAAACATCAGTCTAAGGGTGATATCAACTGCTCTATCAGGTAACAATTACAGCTGTTCCTAATGGTCAAACCAAACAGAGCCAAAGACTATATATCTGACCTACTGCTATCAGAAACTGACATTTTCATGGGTTTTCACTTTGGTACAAAGAATGGTATGACAATGGGGTCAAGCAGACTTAAGTCACCTTCCACCCAATGACCCCAAACTTAAAAGAAAAGAAAAGAAAGAGGAAAAAGCAAACTAAGAATAATGCTCAGTATAGTTGATTTGAACAAAAGGTACAGTACCAAAAGAAAAGCACTTCCAGCTTACCAGCATATATGTCTTCACTAATATTAATAACACGTGATGCTTTACTAATCCCACCTCGACTAATATGAAAGATTCGATCAAACACATCAGGATGCCCATAATGCATGCGGACTCTGCAAGATTTTTTGAAAGAAATTTGGTGTAAGTAATGCATAATATAATTGTTTTCAGAAGAATGGAAGACCACCACACTGACAAATTTCAGAAAGCAACATTAATATAGACTTATAGTAAAACAACATGGTTAAATGCAGCAGGAGAGTTTAACATCCTGGATGCAACGTTTTCATTGAAATCACAGCAAAGATGTATTGATAAAAATATAAATGAATTCTTCACTATCCTCCAAAGTTATTATAATTGTCACAATGTCAAGCAAGAATCAACTACTTTGTCACAGTAGACAGAATTTGTATGGCAATATCATAGTAGTAAACGTCATAACAATAATTATGAAGCAAAAGCATAAACCCAGTGACCAGTGCAAAACCTAATGGTGAAAAATCATGAACTATTTTTAAAATAGAATATTACCCAAAAAAAATTGTTTCATCAGAAGTAGACAAACACTAGAAAGCGGAAAAACCACCAGAACACAAATTCCTTCTTAGCAGTAAAACTATAACAAGTCAATTTTTCAAAGTAGCTGACTGCTAATAAAATCCAATAGCAAAATAATTCTTTTCCAATCTTACAACATGCATTGCATGGCAGTGAATGCTAATGAAAAATTAAAAATAATAGAGAAAATAATACTTGAGAAGATAATTTTCAAAACCACTTATTTCAAGATGAGATTGCTTACTTTAGAGGACATGCTAAGACACGCTGGCCCAAGGTCACAAAGCTGGTCTCTTGATTGGACATAAACCAGGCTAAAGATGAAACACTGTACAATTACATAAAAAATGCAAAGTCATATATTAATTCTCAACAAAAATAAATAAATGTAAAGGAGAAGATAAAAAGAGGAATATGACCATGGTGATGATTGTTTTAAGCAAAAGCAAAGCAAACCTTCCAGTGAAAACATGCTCTCTAACACCAAGAATAGTGGGGGGTCGAATACCATGGTCTCCTCGAAATTCCTCAAGAAGGTTTCTAATTTTCATTGCCTCTTCAAGGTAGTTGTCCTACAGATCAAAAAGCACACATCCAAACTAATTATACCATAATTATACTGTTATTTTGAAGTGAAAAGGTATGTATTATCCTAAACTCCATGGTTTGTAATCCTTCCATTACATTGAAGGAGAAGTCAAGCACGTCTTGGTGTCCATAAAAAGTTAAAAAAACAACTAATAGAAATTGCCAAAAAATAAAAAGATAATTGAACAATGCAAGAAAAGTTAAATGAATTCTATGACACTTCAACTTCCAGAAGCACAAGCTTTTGCTTGGAAAGCATCATAGGCATACCTTTTCCTTTTGATTAAAGGACCTTATTGGTCCCTCAACTTTCAGTTATTACACCAAACTAGTCCCTCAGGCACAACTTCGTTTGGTCCTTAACTTTCAAATTTGGTACCAAAACGGTCAAGCAATTAACCACTTTATGACGTGGCATGTTAACTTTAACAGAGATTTGGCACTAAAATGCGCCCTCAACTTTTCAAATGGTTAATAGAGGGATCATTTTGGTACCAAATTAGAGGGTTGAGGGAACAAAAAAGTTGGAGAGACCAATTTGGTGCAAAAGCTGAAAGTTGAGGTACCAAAATGATACTTTAACATGTCTAAGTTCCAGCTAGTATGACCATTCATCACACCTGTCTCTTTCAAATCTCTTTCCAATGAAGACAAGCAAAACTAGAAACATGCTAAATGTGACCATATCCGAGTTAAGATGCTTATGCTACATACTCAAAGAAGTAATTTGTTTATATTATAGTTAGTTCTTCACACAATACCAAATTCACTCAAAAGTCAAAATAAGTTATATTTTTGATTGACAGATATTCAGCGTTTTTTTTCATTTAACTATTTTCCTCTAAACACAAAAAACTGAAACAGCTAGATCCATTTTGACTTAACTACAACAAAGAGTTTTATCTAAGCCAACTTCATCATAAAGAATCCGATTCTCTACATAACAGATGCAGCAGCATCCCAACTTCATGCAAACACAAACTTAGATTTCACAAAAAAAAGTTTCCAATCAACCTAATAAAGAAGTGGCATAAAGTCAATAAACCTATTCTGTTCCAAAACCAACAAGTATAAGTTTATCAAAAAGTTTAAAAGTAGAGCTGGTGTGGGAACACTGGTTGTTGGCAAAAATATGATATAAGGACCTGAACTTGCACAAAATTTGCAACTTTGGATCCAAACTTCAATTACGCTCAATCAAGGTTCCACCCAAGAGAATATCCCAAGAGAATAGAGCATAATTGATGGAGCTGAGAGAGTGACGAGCATCCAAGACACTTTATGGCAAGAGAATATTCCACCCAATTGGGACCTTATTTGAGAATTTCATGTAGTTTGAGACATTAATTTTAGCGAAATTGAAGTTTAGGTCCGAAATTTAGAATTTTGTGCAAGTTCGGGACCTTTTTCCATACTTTTGCCCTGGTTGTAAAGTGTAAACTCAAATCTGAAATAACGCTAGAAACAATCTAAATATAATTCTTAAAAAAGGAATAAAGAAAAAAAAACTCATAAGAATGCACATAAAACAACATTACCTGATTCATGTCAATAGTTTGAATAGCCTCCCCTCGAGTAAAAATTATTGCATGATTTTGGTTCTCTGGTTTCCCTTCTCCAAGCTTTGGATCCCCAGGAAGTTTAATCGAATATATTTCCTTCACATAGAAGAAAAGGTTGACAACTATGCACTAAAGACCTCAGCTTCTCTAAACATCGATAGTTGCTCTTTGATTAAAGGGTTTATGGGAAAATGTACAAACTAAAGGAATGCTTAAATATGATCAGAGTACCAGGCTTATTATTCTCGATCATTAATAGAAAGAACTCATGCTTCAGAATGAAAGTAATACACAAGAATGCAGGCACAGGGGAAAATAAGGAGATATGATAGAAACAAAAGAGAGGAAAAACGGAGCAAATGAAGATAAGAATAGGATGGAGAATTTCTCAGAATTGGTTCTATTTTAAAAATAGAGGAACAGAAGACAAATATGAAGTTCAAAAACTAAAATCCTAATAAACAAAGAAGTTCTAATCCCAAGAAGAAACTTTAAGTAAAAGAAGAATACATAAAAAACTGAAATACACATTGTCATTGAAATAAGACCAATAAATAACTCAAATTGCCCCAACAAAGTAGCCAAAAGAGAAAAAAAAGGGGCCAAAAAATCAGTATTTACCTGATCTTTTCCATTAATATCAGCTTTGACAAGCTTTGAATAAAATTCCTTTTTTCCATCAGCTCCACCACTCTCCTCCACATGAATGAAAGCAACTCGGAGAGCCTCATTCCTTAAAAAAAAAAAAGGAAGGTAAATTTATCACAGCTCATGAGATGTTATAACAAATCATCCAATCACCACCAAATTTTATCAAATTAAATGCATTGCTACCGCAACAATAATTAAATAGAAGAATAAAAATATTAAAGAAACTAGAATAATAAAAGCTTTGTGTTACTCAATTATCTTTTTTTTCCCCGAAAAAAAAAAGAAAAGACAAGGTAAATCTTGGCTTTCTATTCCCACCATGCACTAAATTAACATACTTCTATTTCTTTGCCATTTCTGATATAGAACATGTACAGAGAACACGCAAAATGCTAGAGCTTGACATAACAATGAAGTTTCTGATGTTTTTTTATAAGTAAATACAAACCATAAAATTCATGACCTTTCATTGCAAAATTGGAAGTTCACCCTCAGTGACAAACAAAATCTACTTACCTAATGGTTCGGTGCAAAATAGAATTATCTCAAAAGATGTCAAAAACAAAGATTGGCATTCTAGGAGTAAGATTTGGATACATAATGATAGCTGGGTATTCAGGTAAGATAACACCTTAACTATCTTGAACTCACATTCATATCCTAGACAAACTAATATGATTATATCTGGCAGAAAGAATATAGATTAAAATACAATAAAATACCAAAAATGATACATCTTTACTAGTATGAAGGTTAGGGACAAAACTATTAAGCATGTTTTCATTCTCAGTTATGGATTTAAATATTTACACACTTTCCACTTTATATGGCAAATGATACTTTGCAATTATTAGTATTATTACCATTACCATTATTATTATTATCATTATTATTATTCTTATTATTTGGATTTTTTATCAGCAGAGAAAACAAATTAAATAGAAATATAAACTTAGATCAAGATTCAAAGGCATAGAATGCTTCTAGCCTTCTAAAGGCACCCAACAAACCACTATGTACTCCTAAGATGCTACTGCAGCTAAGGTAATCAATAAAACACAATGGGAACACTCCCTATTCATCAAGAACCCTGTACATTTCAACAATCATCAACAGAGAATCAGTAGTTTTTAATGTTAGAGAACAGTCAAAATAATGTGGGCTTGTCAAACAGCTAAAATATTAACTTAGGAACCATGACTCAATTGTAATTAATAAAAGATTCAATAAAATCACAGAAGATAACTTGAACTGCAGCATATATAGACAAAAGTAAAGGAAATGTGTACCTTTGTAACAAGAGAGCAATATCAGCAGCCTCTGCCTTTTTCTGCTGCTTTTGTTGCCCATATATTTGGCATGACACAACATAAGTAAACTTCAAATCTGCTTGTGCTCTTGCTTCAGGAGATGATTCAAAACCTTGTGTTGTCAAGAGTTTGGTATGAGAGTAATCAACTGTTAAAAAAATGATGAGATGGTCTGAGTATATCCATCTTTTGACTTCAATAGCATTGGCGAATATAATAGATTCAGTAGAAAATACCTCCCAAAGATTGCTGTTCCAAATAACTTTGCAACATTAAGGCTCTTCTATAATACATCATACCACGTACTGCATTACATGTAAATTGAAAGTATGAAACAAATAACATAAGGAGACAACATCTATCTTCCCAGTAAAAAAGGAGAAATCATATAGCATGGCATAAATTCCAATTTTACTAACCTGTCCTAGCAAGAGTCTGCCCTCGATAAGAAGCCCAAAACCGAAGCTCCAAAGAGTCACTTAAACTTTCTTGAAGATCTGCATCCCCGGTAGACTTACCTCTACCAATCCGTTCCAAAAAATTCTCCCATTCATCTGAAGATAGGAAGAGTTCTCAGGAAGTTATCATTGAAGGAAAAAATTAAGTTACATCTAAGTCCTCAACTACTAAGAAAAGAAGCACAACAACAAATCCTAATGTTAATATCTAAGAAGTAAGAACAAATAGTCAGATCACAGTTAGGAATGCTGATGAAGGAGAGTAAGAACAGTGCTGGAACTATGGCATGGAACCTACAAATGCATGCAAATGTACACAATGAAATGCAAATGCAATGAAATGAGAGCGGTTTAATGATGCTGCAACATGACAGCACGGTAGCATCAAAGTGGCAGCAGCATGGAGCTGCACATGGGCAGCAAGAAATGGCAGCAAATTTTTGTATTTTAGTCAACCTTTTAGGTAGCCAAATTCATTGTATCAGGTAGAAAATATTATTGTTTTGTGAAGCCTTCTCCAATAAAATGACAGAACTTGAATGAAAAATGAAAGCAGATTTGAGGGAATTGGCACCCCCACAGAAAATATTATTTTAGGGAATGGTTTGCACCCCTCCTATGTTATCTTTCTCAAGACCAAAAATTTTAAGTAAAGCGACTGTTAACATGGAAGGCATATTTAGTTGCACTATAGCAGAAATCAAGCATAGTGGCAGCATTGATGGAATAGGCAGCCAAGGAAAACTGAGCACAGCACCTCAGTTTTGTTCCGTTCTTCTATCATCTTTTATCTTCCATAAAAACCTCATGTTTGTATTTTTGAACTCCATTTTATAGCAAAAAAGGTTGACGGAGGAGAAGCCAAGACCAATCACAAAATGGCAGCTCAAGAATTTGTTGAAGAAACAATGATTCAAGGAAGAACAAAGCTGCTGAAAATGTTTATGGCTATAGAATTTGTGCAAAGTGTAAACACAAAAAATTCATGAAGATAAAGCTGATTTGCAGGAGCTGAAATATTTAAGATGGTACTTGGCAGCAAACAACAAACCAAAGCACAGAGGACAAAAATTTGCCAAGAATTGCGTGCTAACTAGGATAAATTTCTAAAATGTATAGCAAAAGCACCTATTATACCCATCGTTATCATCATCACAACTCACACCTAGATCAAAGTACGAAGAAATACACTGTAAAGTATCAAGGAGCCAGGCCATAAAGTTTAGAATGTTAGGTTGACGGTTGTTCAGTACAATATCCATGTGATATCCCAGTCCTTATTTGCAATTAGTTAAAGAAAATAGATCCTTATTTGCATTAAGTCTAAAGTTAGAGTCCTTCATCTTGTCTAGAATTAGGGACTAATCTATAATAATTGTTAATTACAGGATCTGCATATTATTTTAATAAACTGCAGACCAGGTGTCTATTTTAGGGAGAGTTAGTGTAGTCCAGCTGTCTATAATCTGTTAAAATAAATGACAAGTGGTTGAATGAGAAGTGGACCAACAGGGGAGCATTTAAGACCCACTTGACCGGAGGTTTTGAGCTATCTAATTAAATTAGTCATCTATCTAATTAAATTAGTCATTTTGCCTCTAGCTGGACCAAAGGAAAAGGAGAAAGACAGTGCAAATAGGCTGGGCAGACTTGGAGAATCTTGAAGAATTCTGCCAAGCTCAGTATTTTGAAGAAAGTGTGTGGTAAGTGTGAGGTCAAGGTTGTCAAACAAAGTTCAAAGGTAAATAAAACAACAGAATAAACATAAGAAATTCAGGTGCTGCATTTTAAGTTATACAACAGAAGAGAGAAATAAATACAGAAGTTGAACTAGAAATTTCATGTGCTGAAACTGTTAAATTTTTATAGTTCAAGTTTTGAGATTAACATGTAACGTGTATCACCTTTTCTGGATTATGCCCTGCATATTTGACCGGGGCACTTCATTATAGCCTATTTCTATTAGTTCTACAGACCATATTAAGTAAACATTGAATCTGTTATGCATGATTATGTGCTATATATGGTTCTGTGATGTAATTGTCTTAGACCTATGGAGAGTTTGGACCCCAGCCTAGGCTTGAGGGTTAGAACACTGAACAGTAGGTAAGTGCTATGACTAGCTCTAGCACCTAATGTGAGTGCATGCACATTTCAGTGAACTCCATAGTTTATGTTATTCTTATTTGACATGCTGTGTTTGTGTGATCGTTTTGTGGCTGCAATGCCTTAATTTTGAGAAAGCCTAGTACAACTAGGAATTTAAGGAATTTTTCTGCATAAAATACTAAGATCAGATTATCAGCTTAACTTAAGATTAAGAATTATGCTTATTGGGCTGTGAGCTCATGGTGTTCTTCCCACCATTTCAGATAGTAGCAGTGAAAAGTAGCTGTTATTCCTAAGAATTTTTTTGTGGGTGGAGCTCCTATGCTAACTATAAGCTGTGCTTCGAAATATCAGTAAGGCAAATCTGTATCTACCCAAAACTTCCATTTGGCTCTGTAATTTTCAGTCTATCTTGTACTGTTATTGGGCCTGGGAATAGTATATAAAATGAGCCTTTTGATTCTATACATATTTTCTGCTGTTTTTCTGCTCTTTTTTCTTTTATCTTGTGCAGAACATTTCCCTACTTGATAAACCAAAAGTTTATCAAAAGGGAATGTTACAATCAAGCACAAGATCATTCAGCAACAAAAGTGACACCCACATGAAATATGAGGAAGAGGCTACTACAATGTGGTGGTAGAGCAGAAAATGTCAAAGCGTAGAATAAAAATTAATGAAAAAATATATACCTGGAAAAATTTTCTGAAGATAGAAAAGAATAGATATCCCATCCTCATTTTCTTCCCGCAATTCTTTGGAACTATAGAGCACAGTCTCGCTGTAGTACGGGGTGAATACACTATTTTCAAGAAAAATATAAATAAAAAGCTAGTTATGCATATATTTAAGTATAGACATTAATTTTTATCAGCTTGACCTCAAAAAATTAGGGCAGAAAAAAAGCCTCATTTTCAACAGAATAGAAGAAAAGACTAAAAACCCTCCTATGTTATTTTACTCCTTTTAATTATAGTATTGAAACGATATGGTTTTAGAATGTTTTTGTGGTTAAATTCTTGGAGGACTGACTGATACACATTTTTTCCGTAAGCATACTATACTACATATACAGCATAAATAAATAAATAAAATAAATAAATAACAATGGCTTAGTTTGACAATACTTCTCATAAACCTTCTTCACACAATACCTTATCTAAAAATGTAGATTTATTATTCTTAATTTATTGTAATTAATTTTTTTATATATTTTTACTAATTATAATTAATATTTTAAATATATATGGGATAGTAAAAGACAAAAAAACACCTAAAACTAGAGTGCAATTCTATCAAACAAAGTCTAAGTAACTTGCTTTAACTTGAATGTACCTAAATGACATCATTTCAGAAACAGGCAAGGCTGGAGGCATGTTCATAAACAATGAATTGGTAAAAAATTCTAATCTTCTTCTTGCTTCAAGATTCTTTGGAATATTAGCTGTAGCATCCTTCACAGTGAGAAGAAGGTGCAACCTCTTAACCTGCTCCTTCTGTAATAATAAAGTAATAAACATGGCAAAATTGTTAGTGAAATGCAAACACAATAAGCGAAAAGAAAGACAAGGAGCAGTTGCAAGAATACATACAATATCAGAATCCCTAGGCCACTCTATCCTGGAAAACAGGCGCCCTTCATGTCTTGCCCTAGCCAAAATGTTCCATGTATCAAGCTGCTCCCTGATAGTGATGGTAAAAGAAAAAGGTTTCAAAAAAGAAGGATGTAAAGAGGAAAGATTCCTTCTTAGCCCTTCAACTTGAAATTCATTTTACACTTAAGTTTATATTAAGCACACAGACCATTTCCCTCCAATTTAAGCTCTCCAACATGTAAAATGGAAATAATCACAAAATTTATTATTCCAATATTAAAATTACTAGTTTGAATCTTATAATATTAATTACAGTTCTGACTTGCTCATATTTCATCAATATTATCAAAATATTAAATGATTGATAGAAAAAAAAAATTATAATTTCAAATTAAATGAAAATAAACACTATTAGCACCAGTGACAGTGCTCCAACCAACAGAAGCACCAATCTTGTTCGTGCTTCAATTGGGAATTAAAAGGGTGGGGGAGGGGGTGTTTAAGGGAAGTTTTCCCTTTTATTGAACAATTAGCTTTCAAGCAGTTGAACATCCGACCACATACCTTAAATCAGGTGAAAGAAGGTCATGAGTAACAACCTCATATAGATCATATACAGCTTTTGCAGCACCTCTTACAAGGTCTGGAGTTTCATTTCTTATCTGTAAATTTATTATTAATAACATGTCAAGATACACATGGACAAAAACTCAAACATGTACAAATCAACAAGAAATGATTCTAGATTTAAATAATAGAAAAAAAGTAGACATAACAGTCCAACTGCCTTTCCAAGCATTTTAAAAAAATGTCCAAGGAAACTAATGCCAAATGAATTGTACAAGATGCAAAACTATCCACAAAATTAACAAGGATACCACCTAATAGAGATGTTAAGAAAATGAAAACACAAGAAACTGTATAGAACTGTTAATTTAACACAGTCAGTAAATCATTTCTTTATTACTTGTTCAGTTTGGCAGAAAAATCAGTGAACCAATTGGTTACTAATAGGTTCAGGTAGCAGGCACATTGAACAAGACTACACACTGTAGAGCTTTTTATACTGGATAGAACCTCAACATTTACAATTTTTTATCACAGAGCTTACCAACAGATGTGGGAAGAGGGAAACAGAAAAAACTGATACAGTATCAAGAATAATTGCAAACTCATTAAAAGAAAGTCATAAAGATAAGAGTATAGCACCAAAAAATACTTAGCCAGCAGAATAGCAAAGAAAACTCAAAAAGTTAAGGGAAAAAATAATACACCAACTTTTATTTTCCAATCATTTTTTGACCAAAATATGCAACTGAACATGGATTACAAAATGCTGGCATCATTCTAAATTGAACAATATAATGATGTTAAAATTAGTAAAACATATACCAATAGCCCAGTCAAAGCAGTAAATCTTTGCACCACCAAAGGAAGCTTCTTAAAAGACAACATTAAGACAAGGGAACCCTCTGACATGCTATTGTTCATCTCTCGGTATATCCTTTCAACCCTATCAGAAACAAAGATGCATATCAATGATACATCTAGGCAAAAACCCCTCAAAAAACTGATACCTAATAAAAGAAAATATGGTCATTTTGAAAACATGCATGCAACCATAAGTAGATTTATACCAAAGCCTTCCTTCACCATCAACCAAGGAATGTAAAACTTTTTCAATACTATAGTAGCACTCCTGAACTGCGTAAGCCATGTATTCATCCTTGCATATTCTACTCCAAAGATCAGCCTGTGTATCTTTGCAGTCCAAAGCCAGATCAATTGCCAAAAAGATCTACAAAAATTCAATTGCCGATAAAGATGAAAGAAATCAGGAGACCACCAAAGATGCTAGCACTGATGTGCCTCAATTAAGATTCAATGACTGCACCTTACTACTTAAAAGAAACAGAGGCCATTGAACCAATCTAAGACTTCCCGTGTTGCTCGGAATTGAAAGCAAGTCCATCTCCCTTGATCCATAAAAATTTCAGCATTCCATCAGTTCCAATCTCAATACAAAAATAATAAACCTAAAACTAAAAATAAGAAAACTAGCCATCATAATTTACCTGTTACTGATATAATCTTCTTCACGCAAGCTCTTTATTATTTCATTCCAAAATGGAGAAAACAAGGCTGCATGTGGCTTGTTCATTTCCTGAGAAACCTGAACATACCGAGCACACAAAACAAATAACAATAAAAAAAAAAGGGAAAAAAATAGAGGCATGGTAGAATACAAGCACACAGGACAAAGTTCACCTAATTGATATCAGAACTAAAATGATAGAATAGAAAGCTACAATAATTAGCCAAATAATCTAAAAGTGCATTCTCAAGTTCAAATGGAATCCAGAGCTAATCAATAAGAGATTTTCCAGTAGTTTCCAATACATTAAAGAACAACAAGCTTCACAACCTAAATTCTTCTGTAAGAGAGTTTTGCATTTATATATAAATCATAGTAGAAAACAATTATAGCAGCAGAGAGCTAAGAAACCTCTTTGACACAATTATATTCAGTTTTGTAAACAAACTGAATTTTCAAAAATTATTATAGTAGGAAAATTACATTTTTCATACATATAATATTTAAGCAATTAAATTCATATAAGGTCTCCCGATCTGAAATATAGAATCCCCAACCAAAGAAATATAAAACAAAATACCAACCTCTGGTGCTTGTCTGTTAAATGGCACCCTGCAGAAGCAGAAATACAAAAATTTCTTAAAAGAGCCTACCAGGGAAATAAAGCCAACTTAATATACAAATAAACCTTTTTTGGTTGTGTGATCTGCAAATATACAGACAACATGATATTTGAGATCATAAACATAACCAAAAATAGATACAATACACACCCACCATAAAAAGTTACATTTAATAGTTAATGTAAAATGTATTATTTAAAAGATGCCAGGGAAGACTAAGATTATTCGTTGATGCCGGAAAACATCCAGCTTACAAGTGAGGAAAGACTAATATTGACATGTGTTACAATTAGAGAATTCAATTAAGTTTTTAAGCTTTAGTAGGCTTTGGTAGGCTGTTGCACTTAGGATTGCCTATTCAATGTAATAGGGATACTCTTAAGATTTTTTCCCTAACTTAAAGCCTATATAAACAAAGGCTCTCCTACATATTGGTTTCATATATCTAATTAACATTTGAGAATAATGGAAAAACACCAGAGCTTTCCCTACCTCCATTCTCCTGTTTTAGTTTTCTTAACATGTTACCAGACCTTTTAGGTTCCTAATTTCTTTTTCCCTTATGCCAATCTGCAATTTGCTGTTCTCTTGTTTTTTATTTGCTTTTGAAAATAAAGAGAAAATGTTTTCCCCTATGCCCCCTCTTCAATTAGGATTTTCTCTTTCCATAAATTATACTCTCAACTCACCATCCCTTTCCAGTAGCATTTTTTCAGGGTTTTAGGTTCCTTGTTCTACTTGTGTTTTGTTTTACACTTTAGCCCTTTTTATGATAACAAAATAAAATCATGTCAATTAACTCTGAAACAACTCCAAGTTATTTAGGACAATAAGACCAGAAAACGTACATATGGACATTTCACCTGAACTAATATTAATAAAATAATGTAATTCTTTATATAGGTTAATAATGCAATTCTTTATTTGGTGGAATATTAGTATTCAACCAACATTCAACAAAGGAGCAATTCCTATCTTAACTAACGTGTCATAATAAAAGAAACAAGAAAAATATTAATTTTAGGGAAGCAAAACAAGTATGATAGATATTTACACAGAATTCCATAAGGAACAAAACTTTCAAGTCTTTAATCAAATTAATACTCCCTAATTGAACCTAAAGTGCTTCTGCCTCTTCAACCTCATTCAGGAAACTCTCAAAGTTTAAAGAAGAATAAACAGTACCCTTTCATCCGTGGTGAAATAAGATTCTTGGTAAAGGCTTCTGGAAAGCTCTCAAAGCGTTTATGCACCATATCAAGTGAACGTATCTGTGGCAAAATCAACATTAAGCACCAAAATAGGAACCATGATGAAAGAAGTAATGAACAAATTCTTACAAGAGCAGAGAGCCCATGAGTTTCATTGAAAATCATATAAGGCATATATCAATACCTCGCCTAGCCTAGCCCTTGCACCCATTACACCACCAACAATTGCCGAAAGCAGAGTGTACCAAATGTATATGTCCATGAGATAGATCTAAAAAGGAAAAATATGATCAGGATAACTAGTAGGACGGTGAATGACATTTTTTGAAAATAACATGGAGTTAAAGGTTTTAATTCTAATCCGGGTGACCAAGCAAAGAGAAAGCTGGGACCCAGGTTATGGTACAGATCTCCAAGATGTAACTTTTTTTTTTTCTTGCCTGAGCTCCAAGATGAACCTTAAGCTTAAAGAGCTCAACACCAACCTACTTAGTCTTGCAGACAAATTTTTATGGGCATACTAAATTTACACGTTAAAAAACCAACTGACGGTCAAAATGGTAGGTTTGCTTGGCCATACATCAACTTATTTAACTGATCTGATCAATCACATGGAAGTCTAACAATCAATGTAATACGCAAATACAAAGCAACAGAAGGTGCTCAAATAAATGTGAGGACAATGAAATGCCAGGTTTTAATTTCCAAAGAAACATAAACTTATAGCTTGTCTTAGAACATCTAAAGAAAACAAGATAGTGAAACAGGGCCATGAACAATGCCTCGATGGCGCCTTTGGAACCAAGAGAAGACATGATATCTCAAGCAATCAGCCACTGTTGTGCTTTGGCTGCTGTTTGCAGTGTGGCTTTCCCATTTTGCAGTTTATGGATTTTATTTATTATATTTCTTTTTATTATTTTGGTTATAACTTAGACTATGTTTTTAAACATCTTTTATATGAGCTCTTCACAGAAAAACAATACAAACATTTAATCATCCTAGCTTTTCAGAGTTAGGAAAAAGCAAAGGTGCAGCTGATCAAAAAAAAAAGGAGCAAAAAGGAAAGGTGAATTGTCAAAAAAAAGGGCCAACCATTTGTTGCCCATTTAGCATTTTAGACAAGATAGCAGGTTTTAACTGCATTTTAACTATTTCAAGGCTAGGGTAACATCCAGACCAGAGAAACTACTAATTTCCAGTTATTCCCACAACCAATGGCAACTTCTTTGATAAGTACAAATCTAAAACGAAAGGGAAATATTACTCACAGCCAAAACAGGAGCCCATAGGGAAGCTATGGTCAGGGCATTATTGTTATCTGTAAAAGTCAAGGCATAAATTAGTAACAAACTAACAATTAGGAATTTTTATTTAAACCTCTATGAGTGTAAAGAATCATCACTATAGCTTAAGATTTTGCAAAATCATATAACAATTGAAATCTCAAAGAACACACAGAATCTAGATGTGCTCAAAAACAA